CGTTGAGTTTCTCATACGTTGAACATCCAAATTGCATTGCAAAAAATCTTAGCATTGTATTGGTTATGATATGGTCAATATGTGTCATCCAATGTTATGCATCCTACATTTACAAAAAAATCAATGAATGAAAAAAACGAGGGAATTATAAAAAATATATCAATGTGTATTTCCAATCTTCGTCCTCTTCCTCTCTTTATTCTTGTTGCTTTGACTTAATGGAACTAAGCTGCTGCATGTTCTATGATTGTGACCACTTTCACCACACCGATCGCATTTGACGATTATGTTTTCCTCATACGCTGGTCTGAATCTCTTCTCACTAGGCCTTCCACAACTTCGCTTTTGATTAGGTGCAATTACAACTATGTCATGGACATCATTTGGCACTATCTATTCAGCTGGATTTCCTACGGGAAAAATGGTTTCTTGGTATGTATTTCTGAATCCTTCACTTGTGTAGTAGTAGGAATAGTATTCATATGGAGCCATCTTCATACTCGCAAACACAGCCAAAGCACGTGGACAATGTAGTTGACCAACTTGAAGCATCCTACATGTGCATGTCCGATTTTCTATATCAACAACGAACGAGGAACTTTCACCGCTAACTAAGAACATTGCCTGATTAATAGGGGAAACCTACATATATAGATTCAAGTTATAGACATAATAAGTCACATAGTGAAAAAGTAAGACACGAATAAAATTGCATGTCACGTAGTTAAATATAATATTGCACAAATATTACTGAAACACAACGGTATAGATCACAGCACATGTTACACATCAGTTTAGGTAAGTCACAGATTATAGATTAGGTCACAGTATTTAACTTTACCCTCAAGTTTCTCATATTTGTGCTCATTTTCTTCATCTTCTTCTCATACTTGCTTGACAAGATTGTAAAAGTGCCTTGGGCATCCTCCTTGTGTCTGCAGAACCAAGATTGTAAAATTTGTTTCAATGAATCCAACAAAGCTATAATAGGGTAGTTCTTGGTAGATTTTGTGACCGCATTAACTGACTCCACAATATTTGATGTCATTGTCGAATACCGGTTTGAAGGCATGTGAAAACGTGACCATCTCTCAGATCCAACTTCGTCCTATAAACAAAACCATGGAAATGTGTATCATATAGTATATAGTATCATGTTAAATGTATTTATGTGAATATCATCATAGGACAACGTATAGTACAGTACTAGATAACCCCTTATCTTCTCATTAATCGAGCCGAGTTGTTACATGTAATATTCATATTAGGTAGATTTTGTTGTAGATGGTACGAACATATCCCGTGACATGTTCCCGGATACACGTTTTCAATCGCCTTTTTGATGTTGTTGTGACGATCCAACACAAAGCACAAACTGTCTCTATCCCCATATGCTTTTCTCAACTGTCTAAAAAACCATGTCCAGGAGCTGTCATTCTCGTTATCCCCAATCCCGAAAACAAGTACATAAATGCTATTATTTGCATCTTGTGTACATGTCGTAAATAAGGTGCCACCATAGTGTCCATTTAGATATGTGCCATCAATCATAACAACTGGCCTACAATGTTTCCATCCCCGTATAGATGCACCTAGTGCTATGAAGCAATATTTAAACCTATTGTGACCATCAATTTCTAAACTTGTGATTGATTCAGGATTTGTTTGTTGTAGCACAGAAAAAAGGCTGGTATCTTATTGAATGAATCAGTTGGATCACCCCTTAGTAGTTTCAGAGTTTCATCTCAAGATCGCCAAGCTTTGACATAATTCAAAGACACTCCATATGTATGCAGCATGTCGTTGCGTATATCATTCGGTGTGTATATAGTGCGCGATGATGTGTGCTTGTACTTAATGCAGGTTGACACAACTGTCTTTGTTACTTGCCTATGAGTACTGAGTACGATATTTGAAGCGCATATGTGACCTTCTGCAATGTGTCTGATTTTAAACATATCTATTCTGGCTAACTTCGATGCTCTACATGTCCAATTACACTCATCACGTGAACATTTTACGAGATAGTCTTTCTTATCGGACCGAACAACCACATACTCAAACATGTTTTGGATTGCATAAAACGACAAGCTCAATTTCATTATCTTTTTGTTACGGAAAACTCTTCCTTCCACTACCTCACTAGCATCTGCCACCACCACAATTGTGACCTCATGCTCAAGCTTGTCACTAGATGAATCCATTATTACTTCACATATATCTGTTGACATATCTGTTAATGAAAACCCATGTTCGTTCGATTGAACATCAACTGATAGCGCAATAGGCTATTTTTCGATATCTACAGTTGTGACCTCGATTTGAATTGGATATTTGGCAGGGTCACGACTCATATCCTTCAAAACCATGTAAGACAAGAGATTCTCGTCACTTTTGATTGTTATTGGAGGCGGATCTATATTCAAGACATACTTCATTGTCACTACAACTTTTGCAGGGTCAAAGCTAAACTCTTTCATAACCGTGTTGACAAACCTCAAATACCCGCAACTACGATCAATTAACACCAGTGACATTTGTGATCCATTTAACAGACATACGTGAATTAACCCCATTTTTGCAAAATAAGCAAAAAACATGATCAGTCAAACATCTAATTATTGTTACATCTAATTGCATATGGGTCAAAATTATATTAATGGTCAAATGTCACAACAAACATATCTCGAATCTCAAGTATCATTGCCACGTATTGAATACATGCAGGTCACATATTTTTATTTCACAGATTTTTTTTACGAGAGGTCACAAGTCATTGCATGGCCACAAGTCTTTGTATATTGGTCACTGTTAATTGCATGTCAGTCACAATTCTGCTAAATGATCACAGGTCACAGCAAACGCATGTCGTATCTTGAATGTCATGGTTACATATTGACTACATTCAGGTCACATGTGCGTACTAAATCACAATTACATGCAATAATAAGTCACGGTAACTAAGTGTAGATCTGTTGCATATGATTAGATTCAAACAAGAGCATTAATATCATATGACACATATGCAGTATGTCACACATCACACATTTCGGGACACAAACACCCATGCGTACTGACTTCATGAGGTCACATCTTACGAATAGCCGGTCACATGTTTTCCATAACGGTCACAACAGTTTCGAATAACAATGTACGATATCATGATCACAGTTCCGTCAAAAATCACATTTTCCATCAATCGAAACTTGTCTAGTACGAATAAACGACAAATTATAATGAGTAAATCGTAATTACATACCTTATGAATGTAATTACATACCTGATGAATGTAATCAGTGACTGTTCGAGGGATCGTGTTTTAATCCGACGTAATACGACCCAAGGACTGCAATTTGTGACTAGAATTCGATTTTACCGTCACTACTGTGAGAGCCGACGGTAATTTCGATTTATTTTCAGATCTTCTGGCTATTGGAATCAGCTTGAGAGATGATTTCTTCTTTTTATGGAGAATCCTGCTGGTACGATATATCAAGCTAATTCTTCGAGATTGTTTTCCATTTTAAATTAAACTAATATTTGTATTATTTTTAGGCTAATATCTGATTGGTGAAATATGATACTTGTTTTCTTATTTTTGAAATCCCCTATACTTAATCTTTTATATATGAAATTTTCCTTAATTTTCATTGTTGACTTAATAAAATTAAAAGCATCTTACATTTAAAAGCCTTTTAAAAATGTTCTTATGAATTAGACGGAATTAAGATCCTTTTTCAATCTATTTCTCCAACTATTCAACATCAAACCATAAATTTAATGAGAGTTCGAAAATAGAAAAAAAAAAAAAATCAAAACTAGTCTTTATATTTATTTGTACGGAACTGCAGACTTGGGCGTAGAACTTGTTGCTACTTTGTTTCTTTTCTATTTTATAATTAATCATTTGTGTTCATTTTTACTCTTTTATTTTGACCCGTCTCTACTTTTATCATGGAGGATAAAGTGTACAAGGAGAACAAAATTATGATTTTTTTATTATTATTTAACAACTATTCAACACCTAACTATCAATGTAGTTAGAGTTTAAAAATAGGAAAAATATAGAAACTAGTCTTGAATTACATGTTCAATCGAAAATTATGGATTTTATGTTTAAGCCCCTGTTTAATCCCCATTAAATTAAATTACATTACATTTTATTTCTCTCTCTCCTATTTTCAACCACACAATTTTTCATAAAATAATATTACACGTAAATCGAAAACTTTTCATTCTTTTTCAACCACTCATTTTTCTAAAAAATACTATTTCCCTAATTCTCATTTTCAGGTAATGGGAATCAAACATGGGCTAAATAAAACAATTTATCTAATTTATTTTTTTCTTTTGTTCATCCTTTATTTTTATTAAAAGGTCGACCACGAGGTCATTAGGAGAAACGAAATTATGATGAATTTTTATTATTGTTTGACCACCTAACCATCGGTGTAATTAGAGTTAAAAAATAGGAAAAAGGGTTAAAACTCTTGAATTGTGAATTTTAATTACACATTAATTCACACTTATGAATTTTATATTTCATTAAAGCCATTTATTTGATTATTTGTTCGAAGCCGCAGATTTCAACTTAAAATTTATTGTCAGGTTATCGATTTTTCTACCTTTTTCGTATTTAATCTTTAATTTTATGAAAATGTCGAAGACGGATAGGTGAATGATGAAATGAATTTTTTATTATTGCATCGATTATCCGACACAAATAGTGTCAATTCTTTCATTATTTATTTTTGTCTATTAATCATTCGAATATGCTTTTAAATTTGTTTGTCTTCCCAAAACTACAATTTACTTTTATCGACTCCTCCACTCCTAGGTCCCACACTATTTCAACAGTAAATTTTGTCTTATTCTCTCACGTGTAATCCCCCACTTATATTTTAACGATCAAAAAATCAATTCTCAAAATCATTACTAAACAGATAATTTCTTCACCTCCGCCGCAGCCCCAACACAACCACTTATACACCTGTGTAGAGGGGGAAAAAAAAAAAGAAAAAAGGAAAAGAAAAAGAAAGAAGAGATTCTGCTGGCGCCTTTTCGTCGAACCCAGCCCCCAAATTTCTTCCAAGATTCCCCCATTTTCACCGCCAAAAATTCCTCTTCTGTTTATATGCAATATATACATATACTTAGAGCTATATTATTCGCCCTTTGACTTGCAGTTTTTCATTTTCTCTAATGGCTTCGGAACAGCAGTTATCTGTAATTAAGGTTTTGCGTTTTGCCTTAATTGTGATTGGTTTATACTTTTGTTTACTCGATTGAAGTAGTAATTGAGGGCAATTAACGGGTTTTTTGCTGTTTTAGGGCTCGAAAGTGCTGATGGTAGGCGCTGGTGGCATAGGCTGCGAGCTTCTCAAAACCCTCGCTCTCTCTGGCTTCCAAGATATTCATATTGTTAATATAATTTATTTCTTCTTCACTATTTAGTATTTTTTTTTTCCCACAAATTTGACATGTTGAATGCATGTGGATATCTAAGATTTCTTTACTAGGATTTTAGGATACTTGGGGTTGGCCAGTTTTTTCTACTTTTCAATATTAGTTGTACACCAGGAATTACTGGTCGTGGCAAAGAATGTTTAGCAGCTAAGCTTAAAGTACAATTTCTTTTTAAGCATCATTTAACAAGAGAAGATTCGTTACAGAATTAGGGCATGAAGAATTGGTTTTATGCTTGGTTGAAAATTCCAGAAGATTCGTTACAGAATTAGGGCATGAAGAATTGGTTTTATGCTAGGTTGAAAATTCCTTTTTTTTTTTTTTTTGAAATTTTATGTAACATTTCTGATGCTCCAAATTGTTTCTAAAAACTTGATTTTAATGAAATCAAGTAGACAATTTGAAATGATTTAGCAGACACAGAGACTTTTAAGCTCAGTTTGTTGCATAGGGCCTGCCACCTAGAAAATCTCCATAGGGCTTCCAGGGAATTACAAAAAATTTATTGTGTTTATTTAAGTGCCTGTTTAGAAGGGATTTTGATAATTGATTTTTTTACTGTTAGAGATAAAGTGGGTCCTATCCGTGAGAGGAATTCAAAAATGACGATTGAAATAGTGAATTTATGTAAAAAAATTGATTTTAATTGACTTAAAATTTGCACCAAACAAGCACTAAGTAGAACGGGCAGAGGTGGAGCGAAAGCCCCGTGTGTGTGTGTGTGTGTGTGTGTGTGTATTGAATCTTAGAAAATTTGAATTTCGTTTATATAAACAATACCGTTGTTTAAAAAAATTCAGTTGAGGCTTTGATAGTGAGGCAGTTTTATGAGGCATTCACCTTAGTTGTACAAGGCATATGTCTCACAGCATCACGTCAAGGCTTGTGAGGGGTGCGGTCGTTACTTCTCTAAACTTGTTTACTTGGTTTTGAGTGGGTAGTCACTAAACATAAAAGCTTGTGATTGATCCATCTTGGGGGTAACATTAAAATATTGTGTTTCCTGTAGGCTCACTTTAGGAATAAGCTACAGCCCCACCAACTAAAATAATCGTGTTACTTTATACATTTTTGTTTTGTTTGTTTGCACACATGTTTTATTATGAATTTTTATGATTTATTATGAGTTTGTTTCTCATTTTATTGATTTTTTGACATTTTTCGCTTATGCCTCGCCTCTGAAGGAAAAATGCCTCTGTATCTGATTGCGCATTTTTAAACATTGAAAAAAATATATATATAATTTTTGAAACCCCCCCCCCCCCCCCAACAAACACACTCCCTGTCCACATAAAAATCCTTGCTCTGCCACTTACGAGGGAGAATTATTTAACATTTTTATTATTGGAAACTTTTGCTTTAGTCAGCTGCTACTTTTCTCTATCTTGAAATTGATGGAGCTAAATAATTTATGGTCTACTATACTGTTATGGACAATGAAATTATCTCCCAAGTGACATGGCAATAGCTGATTGTGCAGAATTTGATTCATGGGGCCATCGGGAATTTTAAACATCCACCTTGTGTTTGTTACTTAAGATCTCCTCCTAGACGTAACAAACTTCTTTTCTTTTCTTTTCTTTTTTTCCTATTCCATTCAGATGCTTTCTCTGCTCAGGCCCCAGCAAAATCTACTCACGCTTTTCTGTGTAGCTCACTCCCTCTCCCTCCCCTGTTTTTGTTTGAAGTTTTTTACCCAAAGTGCCACACGTAGGTTATACCATTAAATTTTGGGTCTCCCAAGAGGTTCATTTGTCGTCTTCTTTTGCCGCTCATGGTGGAATCATCTTCCTGCACGGTTAACTTTTGCTTAGTTCACCACCTCGTGCAATATTAATATTTCATTGTCTGGTTTGTTTGGATATATTAGAAACTTTTTACGGAAGACTATTGTTGTTCAGAAGTAATGACCTTGTCTGAAGTTGTCATATAATGTTATTTATCTTTATTTTCTATTAATTTGCTATTTTCTTCATACCTAGAGAATGGCATAGGGGACCTTTTTCAGATCATATGCTGTAAACTATATCTGTATTGGTTCTTATGATGTCTTGTCAGTCTTAATTACCTCTAACATACTAGGCATTTGAAGTGCTAGTTTATATGAAATGAAAGTTGCAGTGCACTGTCTTGAATCTTTTCTAGTGCGCACTCCTTCTCATGGCTTTTTTAAAATCCCCGACGGCCTATATATTGAAACTGTTATTGCAATATGATTTTCTCTTAGTTAATGCTGATTGTGGATAAAATTTACTTTGAGAAGCAAGGTTGGCGTTAAATGTATGCTGTTAAGCATCTCTCTTTTTTGACGTGCTTACTGCCTGATCGAAGGGTGCAGTTCAGTTCTTTTATTATTATTTTCCTCTTCTTGCAGATTGACATGGACACCATCGAAGTGAGCAACCTAAATAGGCAATTCTTGTTTAGACAGTCCCATGTTGGGCAATCCAAGGCCAAAGTAAGTAAATAACCATCCTTCCCTCTCATGCTAGTTGCTTGATTTTCAGGTCCTAATATAATTTCGTTAAATATTCGACCAGGTTGCTCGGCATGCTGTATTGAAATTTAGGCCCGACATCAGCATAACACCATACCATGCCAATGTCAAAGACCCTGATTTCAATGTTGATTTTTTTAAGCAATTCAAGGTTGTTTTAAATGGGCTCGATAATTTAGATGCTAGACGACATGTGAACCGCCTTTGCTTGGCAACTGGTGTACCATTGGTTGAAAGTGGCACGACTGGATTTCTAGGACAGGTAACTGTATTTTCTTGTATTACTTTTGAAGATTTAGTTAGCACTCCTATTCAATTGGAGTTTTAACTTTTTATTTTATTGGATGCTAGTAATGTACCATATTTGTCATTATTCACTGGTGTTGAATGTATATTACTGTTTTCAGGATGAGATAATACTATTATTAATTGCTTGCATTAGCTAGTTGACAAAAAGTTGTTACATGAGTCTACTGACACTTCTGTTTGCTCATTCACGTTCATTTTTACCTTTTAATTTTGTCGCTTGCTTGATACAGGTTACTGTACATGTAAAGGGCAGAACAGAGTGTTATGAATGCCAGCCTAAACCTGCTCCAAAAACTTACCCTGTATGTACCATCACCAGTACTCCATCAAAGGTAACATCGCCTTAACATTTTACTTCCTTTAGTTACTGAGTACGTTAAACTGTTTTGTGTAATTTGGTTTGGAATATGCTTCTATCACGAACTATTCTATTTTATAGAACCCTGGCAATGATATACATAAATTTAACGCTTAACTTGCATTGGTCAGTAATCTTCTTTGGTCTAACTATGAAGTTGTTTGACTCCATGTTTTTAGTTTTGTTGTCCAAATTTTAAAATTTAGGTATTTAGTGGTTTTTATGTAACCCAAAATCCTATGATTAAAGATATTTGGTTATTTTCAACCACCACATGTTTTGCTGCTCCAATCACTTAAGAAATTAGTATCGTTCTGATCTTAACAACGAACAGTAGTTATTTGTTGGAAAATGAGCGACCTGTTGTCTTCAAGTCTTTCTCAATTATGAGATTGCGGTTCTATTTCTAGGATGCTATTATAATATCATTTTGATGTTGCAGTTTGTTCATTGTATTGTATGGGCAAAGGACCTGCTTTTTGCAAAATTATTCGGGGACAAAAACCAGGAAAATGATTTGAATGTGCATTCAAAAGATGGTTCTAGCTCATCAGAACAAGCAGAAGACGTTTTTGAACGGCGAAAGGGGGAAAACTCAGAAGAATATGGAAACAGAATATATGATCATGTTTTTGGCTATAACACTGAGTTAGCTTTGTCAAATGAAGAGACGTGGAGGAATCGTAACAAGCCAAGGCCTATATATGTCAAAGACATATTTTCCTCTGAACTTGCCAGTCAAAATGGAAATCTGGACAAGAGTTCAAATGGTGATCCTCCTCCATTGTCTGCAATGGCATCTCTTGGTTTGAAAAATCCACAGGATCTATGGTCCTTAGAGGAAAATTCTAAAGTATTTCTTGAGGCTCTGATGTTGTTTTTCTCAAAGCGAGAAAAGGTTTGAGACAAGTTATTACATTTTTTGATAGACCTTGTGTTCTTCTTGTTCTTCATTTTTGTTGATATTGAATGTTTCCTTCGTCCTCCCCCTCAGGAGATTGGTAACTTGAGTTTTGACAAAGACGATCAGTTAGCTGTAGAATTTGTAACTGCTGCAGCAAATATCCGAGCTTCTTCGTTTGGGATTCCCCTGCATAGCCTTTTTGAGGCTAAAGGTATTGCTGGCAATATTGTGCATGCTGTTGCAACAACAAATGCCATAATTGCTGGCTTGATTGTGATTGAGGCGATCAAGGTGCTGCAACATGACATCAAAAACTATAGGTAGGATCTATTATCTGTCACTATTTGTACTCTAATTCTTTTCAGTCACGCATCTTTATTTATTTAAGTCCAGCAAGACCAAATAGATAATAACTGAAGTAGTTCATAATTATTTGGGCCTTTTTTTTTGGGGGGTGGGGGGGTTATGATTTTTTTCATATCGCGTGAATAAAAAGCTGCATTAAATTAGACAATGGTGTAACACAGTCGCAAACAGTTGCTTTATTTATTTATTTTTTCTTGGCAATTTCACATTTGTAACTGCTTGTTAACAAGCTTTGGTTGTGCCTGCAGGATGACTTATTGTCTTGAGCACCCTTCAAGAAAGATGCTTATTATGCCAGTAGAGCCGTTTGAGCCAAACAAATCGTGTTATGTCTGTTCTGAGGTTAGCTCAATTCTCCATTTCCCTCATAAATCTGTGTCTGTTCCTTTTTCCCTTGTGCTCAATGTTGTGCTGATAGAACCCAATTGCATTCTGATTGTTTGAACATTTGCCTCCTTTGTGCTATGCATTTGCAAGTAGACACCTTTGGATCTTGAAATTAATACACATCGCTCTAAGCTGAGGGACGTTGTTGACAAGATTGTGAAAGCAAAGCTTGGCATGAATTTGCCTTTGATAATGCATGGATCAGCCCTTCTGTATGAGGTTGGTGATGATCTCGAAGAAGATGAGGTTGCTAATTATGCAGCAAACCTTGAAAAGGTAGATTGTCTTTAGTTGTATAATTTTTCTTTTCAATGATGAGATGTCATTCAGCTCATGTATTATCTGTTAGGTACTATCTGAGCTTCCTACTCCGGTCACGGGTGGGACAATTCTCACGGTGGAGGATCTTCAACAAGAGCTGAAATGCAGCATCAATATCAAGCATAGGTTCATGTCATGCCACTCCACTATTCCTCCTGTTTGCATAGTGCCTTTTTCATTATGTCCATTCATAGTTTGACATCTGGAGCTGCAAGGGTATAATCAAACATGATAAAATGAGTGTTAACCAGTTGCTTTTAGGTTCTGAAGGCTTACATCATGAACAAGGCAATAGCTTGGTTTAAAACACTTTTTTCCTTCAAAATTTGACTGCGGTATTCTTTTTGGGGTAATTTGCTCTCAGATGAAAAGTGAGGGATACGTAATTCCCTCTTCCTGCCATGTACACAGTAGTTTTAAATACTTGTTTCTGACTCGGTCTAGTTCTTCCTCTTAAGATCAGCATCAGCTTCACCTCTCACTTATGTGAACATTATGTCCCTCTATCATTATCAATAATTAATCACAAGTTCTTTGTTGGTTTCCTGTTAATATACATATATGTTAATAAATTGATGCTTCCTGTCATTATGTAAATAGTTACCAATGTGTGTGTGTGTGTGTATTTTTTTTTTTTTTTTGGGGTAAAGGCCATTCAAAATTAGACGAGGGGTTTTTATGCCACTCATGTAAGGTTGAATGGAGGTTTTTTCATTTCCCCCTACCTAGTATATTGAAATGAACATCGTTACATGGAGGGGGACATCGAACAACCTTACCTCGAGGAATTGCACACAAACATCTTACAAATGTACACCTAAAATTTACATTTAAAAATGAAAATTTGAGACTCTCCATTTAACCAGTCTAATAAGCCTTTAGATGTTCTATTGAAGTCCCTAGCTTGTATCATCTTGAAGGATTTCTTTTTTTACCCATTATTTGCAAGCCAATCAGCTACTTTGTTCCCTTCTCCCCAGATGTGGGACTATGAAACTTACTTTTCCAGTATTGAAGCTCCACCATCCTGTATTGAATACACCACAGACCAGCTGCAAAGTTGTTGACCAGCTACAAAGTTCTTGAATCCATCAAACACTATGATTTTGTGAAACAGTAGAGTATTTCATCGCAATCCTACCATGCCTTGATGGCAGCTTAGATGTTGTTTTAACTATTAATACAGTTAGCTAACAAATTTGTTCCCATAAATAAAGCCCTGAAGCAGAGATATAAGTAGAAATCCGCATAAATCTTCATGGCTACCAATAATCATGAATTACTACGATTGCTACTTATAAAAGTAATCCACCGTTGTTTCGCATTTTGGATTTGAGATAGCAATATAACTGCTGTTTGAATGCTTTTATTTCTAACATATTCAATTTCTTTATTTGTTTATTTTATTTAGTGAAATAGTCCCAAGTACTGGATATCCTTTGAAAATTGTTTGCCATGATCTGTGTTTCATCTGTGGCCTCCTTTTCCTGTTCAAGTTGTTGCATGTTTTACTAAGCTTAAAAATAAGTAAAGTTTACGTTTTATTTCCAAAGACGTTTATATGAACTACTTTTTTTTCCCCCTAGAGAAAATATTTTCTCGTTCAAGTAACTCATACTTTATCGCAAAATAAACGTGTACTCTTTTTTTTCAAGCTCTATTATAACATTAAAATTTTCAGGGAGGAGTTTGACGAGGAGAAGGAACCTGATGGAATGATTCTCTCAGGATGGATACCTCCTCTTGCAGCAGAAAAGAATGGCAAGACAGCTGTTGACAATGAAGTGAGCACATCCAGTGCATCTGAAGCTGTTCCCTTATTGACTGAAGATGACGACGATTTGCGTATCATTCCAACAATAACCGGGAAGAAAAGAAAGCTATCGGACGTTTCCAGCGAGAGGAAGAATAAAAGAAAAGCAGAAGAACCCAATAGTAAGAACGATGTTGTCATGCTTGATGATGATAAATTCTGATATGAGCAAAGAAGAAGAGGGAGCAATAGCTAGGTTTTTCCTTAATTTTTATTCCATTAGAATATTTCACCCTAACTTTGTACACAACCGAGGAAGGTGATTCTAGTATTTAAAAGAAAAATGAAACGTCAGGCATGTTTTTGTTTAGATAACTTAAATTTTTTTTATTTAAGGTGTAATTTATTCTAACTTTTAATGGATTGTGAGGATCTGAGCATTGTAACTTTTGGTAGCAGGATTTTCTCATGTTTGTGTACAAAAATATTGGCTGTTGGGGATAAAAGTATGGTTTGTGTTGGCAGTTGCATCGTTATTGTTCTTTCTATATTTCGATGTTGTTAGCTTAGGCAAGGGGAATCCATGTTAACTTGGCAGGCTCTTTGATATTTTATGCTTCCCTTTTCACTGTCGGAAGCAGTACAAATTGAATTTTCAGTTGCAATATTGAAGTAAAGTCGGTGGCGAGAAAAGATTCAGGCAGCTCGATCCTGTTTGGCGTATAATTTTCTGGGTTTTTGTCTAGTTTCACCGACGGATAAAACAAAACTGGCGAGGTAATATATTCTGTCATATCAAATTTTGAGCATCCTTCAAGAAAGATGCTTCTTACGACTGTAGAGCCTTTTAACCAAACAAGTCGTGCTGTCTGTTCCGTGGTTTGGTCTGAATCCTCTTATTTCCCCCTAAAGTCCATTTCTGTTTCTTTTTCACTTGTACTCAATTTAGAGTTGATGAAACCAACTGCGTTCTGATCGTTTGAACATTTCCTGCCTTCTAATTTTTTGCTCTAAGTTTGCAAGTAGACGAGTTTGGATTTTTAGATTAATACACTTCGCTCTAAGCTGAGGGACGCAAGATTATGAAAGCAAAGCTTGGAAAGAATTCACCTTCGAATGGATCCGCCTTTCTTCATGAGGTTGGTGATGATCTCGGGGAAGAACGATGTTGTGTTCTCTCAAATTATCAATAGCAAGAGCGATGTTGTCATGCTTGAAAAGATGAGAATTCTGATACGAGCAAGAAGAGGAAGCAGTAGCTAGATTTTTTCCTTTAATTTTATTCCAACAGAATATTTCACCTAACTTTATACACAAAACTGACTAGGTAAACGAGACAAGAAAACTAAATGGATTCTGATAGTGCAATGCAGTGACTCGCATGTCGACCCCAATACATTTATAATAGAAAATAATAATAATAATAATAATAATAATAATAATAAATGTTCCTTGCTCTTTCAAGATAGATTTATATGCCATGTATGGGCGTTGCACATTGTTCACTACTTTGCACTTTGCGGTATAACGGATTAGCCTGCATAGCCTGCCTATCCGAATGCTTCTTCCTCTTCTTATTATCTTCGTGTTCTTGTTTCTTCAGATCTGCCAAACAATGCACATCGGCCATGCATGCAAATGATCTTGCTTTTCCTGAATAGTATCTCGACAATCCTCTTCTGCTGAATAAAAACCAAATATTACATTACATTAGTATAATTACATGAATAAATCATTATGCTTACCATAAAATAATGCGCAATCTTACTTTCGTGGACAGCCGTCCCTTAATCCATCCATGTCTAAGGTCACTATATGAGAGAAATTTTGTGTATATCGAGGATATTCTAACTTTTTTTTTCCCCTTCCACGATACGAGTTTTCAGTTGTATGTAACAAGGTATGTCAAAGATGGGATTGTTTAGTGTCTTCAAGAAGTATATGCTTAGGATTGGAAGAATGAATAGATATGTCCACATTTTTATCTACATTTACTCTGGTTCATTTGTTCTCTAAGCTTAACCTTTGTGAGGCATTTCTCATTTGGCTCCACACCTCCAATTTTATTCATTCATTAATGGGAGTGGTGACTATCAAAGCCAACTGCAACCATCCGAGCAAGAAATGTTGAGTCCTCCTCCTATTTTTGGATCCCGTTGTCGGATTGGTGGACTATAATCATATTGTACAGAGATCTACTCTACCGTTGTTTGACCTAATATTCCTACATGAATAATGGATTTTTTAAGGGCCTTTCTTTAGTCACATAGACTGAGAGGCATGAAAACAGTTAAGAGGCTGGAAATTATTTGGATCTATATACTTGTTTGAAAATATATAGCAGAGAAAATATTTGAAGAAAAGATGCGATTACACATCCCTTGTGTTTCAAAGGGGTTTTCGCAATATCTAAAAAACGAAAATTGTTACTTTTCAAATTTTCTTTTGAGGATGTCTCATGCCTGAACTACTTTGTGAATGGTTTAACTGAAAATTCTCACTTTCCAGTGTAAAAAAGAGAACATGGACAAATTTTCATGACGGAATTACTTTGTGAAAGGTTGTGTCGTTAAAGGTTAAATTAACATTTGCACAATGTTCGTGGACTATTTTACAATAAAATTGAAAGAAAACTGTTTTATCATATCGATGAGTATTCCTTTTCTTCATGGACATTCGACAGCATGTTTGGCTATGCTTAAAAGCAATTTTTCTAAGAAGAGAAATACTTCCTAAAAAAGCAGCACACACACAACGAACTTCTCTTTTCTTTCCTCCCCCCTTCCCCCCTTCTGCAGCTTGAAAAAGATCATCTGAATTTTCAATTATAAGAGGAAAAGTAATTCTAGAGATTTTCACATATTGGTTTATAATTCTGTTGACGATCATTTTCAGTTTCTTTTATCAGAAGCTGATGTCATTGATGTTCACAAGAAAAAGGGATAGTTCATGCTATGAGTACTATGGTTAGAAGAGGAGGGCACAAAATTTAGTGACAACCATATTTACATACCAAGAAAACTACCTAAATTACACCATGTAACACCGAAGATCAATGATAAGTGTATTTTATACACTTATTTAGGCCATTAAAATTGAGTATTTGTTGGTGAATTTGATGAAATATGGCTTAATCCTATGTATATATTGTGTGTAGGTTACAATCAATAGAAGATATGAGAATAAAGAAAATAAGCGAGAAAAAACGACTCAATTACATCAAGGGCAAAGTTTGGGGACTAGAATGCAATAATTCAAAAGTTGAATTGGACCAAAGAACGATGAGTTGGGAACACCAAGAGTCAATTGGAGTTGAAGAGAAGCTAATGGGACAAGAAAATTTGGAAAAGGACCAAAACACACACTTCAAAAGTTTAGGGTTGCAAATTGGCCCCTAAAATAATTGAACTATGTGTACGCATGGGCCTGTAGGCCCTGCATACGCACGGTTGGAAAATTGAATTTTCGAAGCTCAATTGAGGCTACTATGCATACGCACCAAATGAACCATGCGTACGCATGGTTCAATTCCAAAAAAAAATTCTGTTTCCTTATTTTGTTTTGGAAAGTCTTGGTTTGAAATTTTTTGCACTATATTTATACCAAAAGTCGGCTAAAACACGGGAGAACCTAATTTTTATTATCTTGGAAGCCGACAAAGAGGAAAAAGAGAGCGGAATATACATTGAAGAACAAGACTTCATCACTTGGATTCGAAATTGAAGGCATAAAGTGAAGGATTTCAAATTCTTTTCATACTTTAATGATTTGGGTGATGTCGTTCTTTTATTTTTCCTGTTTTTCCTACATTAATATGATAGGCTAAATATCTTTGTATTGGATGGATGACAAAACTGATTGACTCTTAATTTTTAATTCAAGACCTTATGTTTTTATCTTAATTCTTGTGTTGTGGCTTCTTTAATATGCATATCCATATTTTGTTTTAATGTTTGCGCACCATTAGGACAATAAGTTGATTATTCGTAGTGTTGAAAAACTCACGGTAGGTAGAACACTGTTATTGGAACGTATGGACAATGAATGTTAGGAATAATATTTGTGACGTGTGCGATCATATGTGATAATCCTATACATCAATGCGTGTTTGCCATATGAATTCGGACTAGGAATATGATCGTCTCATGGTAATCATAGGTTTATTATATCTTGGGAAAAAATAATAAATAAAAGTGAAATTATCGATTGTCACAATTGCATGAGTTGAGATAATTGTCCTAGGTTGAGAATTAGAACTAAGAGTTGATTAGTGGCGTCGGAAATCCAATACATTCACTCATCTTAATTCTAAAACAAATTCTCATCAATTTTGCAGTTTTTAGTTATAGAACTTAACTAGCTATTCAAACAAACATCAACTTTTAGTTAATCACACGAATTTAATTATATCGAATACACTGAAATTAGACCTTATTCCTTGTGAGATGATAACTCTTTCATCACAATTATTACTTGTACAACGAACCCGTACGCTTGCAGGATTTTGACGAACAAGTTTTTGGCACCGTTGCCGAGGAATAACAGTTTTAATTTTAATTATTAGATATTTTAAATTCGTTTATTTTTATTTATTTTTAGTTGTTGTTTTTAGGCTACCATTACACCGCTTAATTCTCTTGTATCTTGACACTTTTTAGGCAACTTTAATTTTTGCAAAATCCTGACGAGCCAGATCTCTTTCCAATAGATCACGAAATAGAAAGAACGTTTAGAAATCGTAGAAGAGTTCAACGCCAAGCAAGGAGAATGGCCGATAACTAAAATCAATCACAGAATCAGGTTCAGCGTCATGAGCAAATACTGCAGCCAAATCAATCGAGAGCTTTCCAGAACGAAGTCCCTGTCTTAATTGGAGATTATGTTAATCCAATTCCAGCACCAGTGCAACCATCTGTAGTATATCCTCCCTTTTGACAACCTAATTTTCACCTTAGACCAGATGTCATCAATTTGTTCCAAAACCACCAAGATATCAAGTTCTTTGGAAAAGCCACAGAGAATCCTCATGAACATATTTCGGCGTTTCTTATGCTATGTGAGGTAATCAGTCACGAAGAAATATCAACAGATGCATTTCGAATGAGATTATTCCCTCATACCTTGAAGGACACTGCAAGGGAATGGTTTCTTCGTTTACCACCTGGGAGCATTCAATCTTGGAATGATATGGTTCAAAAATTCACGATGAAAATTTTTCCACCTTCTCGAGTTCATCAAGTCTGGAATGAAGTCCACACTTTCAAGCAGAAGGATCTTGAGAGCTATCCGGAGACATGGGAGAGATTCAAGAATTTTTTTAGGAAATGCCCCAGCCTTGACATCCCTAAAAAGGCTCAGCAATATCTATTCTACTATGGTCTAAAACAAGAATTCAGAAATATGATAGATACTTCTGCAGGAGGATTGTTGATGAAACTTGATGTGGATGAGGCATATGACTTGTATGAAAGAATAGCTGAGAATCAATCGATGTGACCAACCGATAGGAAAGTTCCAAGGAAGACAGTAGGGTTTCATAATGTAGATGCAGTAACAACACTGGTTGTACAAATGGAAGTTCTTACAATGAAAATGGATAATCTATCTCAGTCAGTTAATATGGTACACCAATCTCCACTGGTTTGTGAAGGTTGCGGAGCTGATCATAATACTACGCACTGCCCTCTGGCGTCTACACATGTTAACCAGTCTGAAGAAGTGAGCTATGCGTAGAACTTCCAGAGACTGCAAAATAGTCCATTCTCCAACACCTTTAATCCGGGTTGGAGGAATCATCCAAACTTTTCATGGTCTATCAATTAGGGACAAGGACAAGGAGGTAACAATCAGAATAAACCACCGGGGTTCCAACAGCAGCAACAATAGCAAGAAAAGAAACTGTCTTTAGAAGATTTGCTGGATCAGTACATTACTAAAATTGAGACCAACTTTCAAATTAACAGGCCTCAATCAAGAACTTAGAACTACAGGTAGGACAGATTACAGCCGCACTATCAGGTAAAGCTCAAGGGACGTTACCTAGCAACACCGAGACAAACCCTAAGGAAAAGATCAAAGCCATAACTAAATGGAGTGGAGTCCAACTACCAGAAATACATGTAAAACGGCTAGCAACTATCATAGAAAAGACACATACTATGGGCCAGGAGCAAGTTGATGAATTAGACAAAACAATAGAGGAAAATCAAATCGAGTCATCGGGTAGTCCATGAGTTAAGACAAGCACTCCTATCAAAGCATATGTGCCTCCAATCCCATTTCCACAGAGACTGGAAAAACACAAGCTAGATAAGCAATTTCAGAAAATTTTGGATGTATTTAAGAAGCTGCACATTAACATACCTTTCGCTGAAGCCCTAGCTCAAATGCCCAGCTACGTCAAATTTATGAAGGACATCTTATCAAACAAGAGGAAGCTAGAAGACAATGAAACGATCATGCTTACTGAGGAGTGCAGCTCAACTCTCCAACACAAATTATCACCGAAACTAAAAGACCCAGGGAGTTTTATTATTCCTTGTAATATTGGTAATTTGTATATAGATAAGGCATTGTGCAATTTAGGAGCTAGAATTAATTTAATGTCTTTATCTCTTTTCAGGAAACTAGGTTTGGGGGAAGCAAAGCGACTGCAATTTCACAGCAGTTAGCCGACAGGTCAATCAAGAACCCGCAAGGTATTTGTGAAGATATTTTGGTTAAGGTCGATAAGTTTATCTTCCCAGTGGACTTCATTATTTTGGATATGGAAGAAGATCAGGACATCCCCCTCATATTGGGTCGCCCATTTTTTGCTACGGGAAGGGCTCTGACAGACGTGCAAAAGGGTCAGTTGATATTGAGGTTAGATGAAGAGGAACTGACAATCAACGTGTTTAGAGCTTTCAGATTTCAGAATGAACCAGATTCTTGCATGCAGATTGACATAATAACGAAAGTAGTGTCAGAGACATTCAAACTTAATTACCCTCAAGATCCGCTTGAGGCTTGCTTGGTGCATTCTCAAGAATTGCCATCGAAAAAAGAGGAAGCAGAAGAGTATGCACATTATTTGGCAGCCATACCACCACTTTTCAAGTAGCCATGTTTGGAGCTCGGTGAAAGACCCACAAAACTTTACCATCTATACAGCAAGCTCCAACTCTTGAACTCAAACAGTTGCCCATTCATCTGCGCTATGTGTATTTATCTCGAACAACCTTACAGAATCAAAGGAAGATCAGCTGCTAAGAGTACTTTGGGAGCACAAGATAGCATTAGGATGGACGATATCAAACATAAAAGGAATCAGTCCTTCGCTTTGCATGCACAAGATATTGATGGGAGATGATTACAAAGCTTCAGTTGAGCATCAATGCAGATTAAACCCAAATATGCAGGAAGTGGTAAGAAAAGAAGTATTAAAGTTTTTGGATGCAGGAATAATCTATCCCATGTTAGACAGTCATTGGGTCAGTCCAGTACAAGTAGTGCCAAAAAAAGGAGGAATCACGATGGTCCCAAATGAAAATAAAGAGCTCATCCCTACATGGACAGACACGAGTTGGAGAGTCTGCATTGATTATCGCAAACTCAACAACGCCACTAGGAAGGATCACTTTCCCTTCCCTTTCATTGACCAGATGTTGGAGAGACTTGCTAGACATTCCTACTACTATTTCTTAGATGATTATTCGGGGTACAACCAGATTCTTATAGCACCTGATGATCAAGAGAAGACAACCTTTACATGCCCTTATGGCACTTTTGGTTATAGGAGGATGCCCTTCGGCCTTTGCAATGCTCCGGTCACCTTTCAGCGTTGTATGATATTTATTTTCTCAGACGTAGTGGGACATATTATTGAGGTGTTTATGGATGATTTCTCAGTGTTTGGAAAATCATTTCAGGGGTGCCTTGAACACTTGGGAAAAGTGCTGCAGCAATGAGAAGACACAAACCTTGTATTAAATTGGGAAAAATGCCATTTCATGGTTCAGGAAGGGATTGTGTTAGGGCATTTGATTTCAGCACGGGGTATTGAGGTTGATAGAGCTAAGATACAAGTAATCAAAAAAATACCACCGTTGGTAACAGTTAAGGAAGTTAGAAGTTTCTTGGATCACGCTGGGTTCTACCGTTGCTTCATCAAAGATTTTTTCAAAATCTCGAAGCCATTATGTAATCTACTGGAAAAAGGGGCCCCCTTTCACTTTTCTGAGGAGTGCTTGACAGCTTTCAACATCTTTAAAGAAAAATTGGTTTCTGCTCCAGTATTGGCTTCTCCAGATTGGAATTATCCGTTCGAACTTATGTGTGATGCCAGTGATCACGCAGTGGGGGCGGTGTTGGGTCAACGAAAGGAGAAGAGTTCCCCTGTTATTCACTATGCCAGTAAGACTTTGGATGATGCTCAAATGAATTATGCGACTACAGAGAAAGAACTTTTGGCAGTAGTGTTCGCCGTTGACAAATTTAGATCATACTTGATTAGGTCAAAAGTGATTGTCTATACAGATCATTCAGCCTTAAAATATCTACTAAGCAAGAAGGATGCAAAGTCAAGGCTTATTCGATGGATACTCCTATTGCAAGAGTTTGATTTGGAGATCAAAGATAAAAAGGGGAGTGAGAATGTTGTGGCAGATCACCTTTCTCGCCTCGAATCGCATGAGCCAAACCCTGCAATAGAAATCAATGAAGTTTTTCCTGATGAAATGCTTTTTCAGATTATCACTACACCATGATACGCTAATTATGTCAATTATTTGGCTCGCTCCATCATCCCACCAGACTACTCGAGTAACCAAAAGAAGAAATTCTTCAGTGACCTAAAACATTACTTTTGGGATGATCAAATTCTTTATAGAAGGGGTCCAAATCAAATCGTACGTCGTTGTGTGCCAGAGGTAGAGCAGCATCAAGTATTAGAGTCATGTCACTCTGCACCGTATGGGGGCCACTTCGCAGCAACCAAGACAGTAGCAAAGGTATTACAATTGGGTTTCTATCGGCCTATGTTGTTCAAGGACGCACATTATATGGTGAAACATTGTGACAAGTGTCAAAGGACTGGAAATATCTGAAGGAAGAACGAGATGCCTTTAAACAACATTTTGGAAGTTGAAATTTTCGACGTTTGGAGCATTGACTTCATGGGACCATTCCCTCTCTCCTACAGTCAACAATACATACTAGTGGCAGTGGATTACGTGTCTAAGTGGGTTGAAGCTGTAGCTTTGCCAACTAACGACAGGAGAGTGGTAACTCAGTTCATGAAGAAGAACATTTTCACTCGATAGGCACTCCGAGGGCAATTATTAGTGATGGTGGAAAGTATTTCTGTAATCGATTATTTGCATCGCTGTTGGCCAAATATGGAGTAAAACACCGTGTCTCGACTCTGTACCATCCTCAGACTAGTGGGCAAGTGGAAATCTCCAACAGAGAGTTAAAGAAGATTCTCGAAGCTACAGTCAATGCCTTTCGCAAGGATTGGGCTAAGAAGCTAGACGATGCACTTTGGGCTTATAGAACAATGTTTAAGACTCCAATTGGCACGTCTCCATATCAACTGGTGTTTGGAAAGGCCTATCATCTGCCCGTTGAGTTAGAGCATAAGGCTTATTGGGAAACTCACTTGCTCAATTTCAATATGAGGGTGGCAGGAGAAAAGAGGGTTCTACAACTCCATGAGCTAGAGAAATTTTGTTTGGATTCATATGAGAACGCAAAGATTTACAAGGAGAAAACCAAGAGATAACACGACAGACATATAAGAAAGAATGATTTTAAAGTAGGCCAGCAAGTATTGATGTTCAATTCATGTCTCAAACTCTTTTCTGGAAAGCTAAAGTCTAGGTGGTCAGGTCCTTTCACAGTGGTAGCCGTGCTCCCACATGGTGCTGTAGAAGTAGTATCTCAGGATGAACAGAGGAGGTTTAAAGTGAATGGACAACGGTTGAAAGCCTATTGGGGAGGTGACTACACCAATGAGAAGACGACCGTACCTCTTAATAGTGCAGAGTAGCCTGAGCAACAAAGTTGAGCTATAAACTATAAAAATAGCGCTTATTGGGAGGCAACCCAATTCTCTTTCCTTTTATTTATTCCACTTTGTTGCATTAGATTAGGATTTTTATGTTCTCTTTATTGCTTGGGTATGTTAGATAGATTAGGTGTCATCCATTCATTACTTAGTTGTTGAGTCAATGCACAGGTCACGCAATTTCATATTTGTTTTGCACAAGTTTAGGGGAGTTCAATCATTGCAGACGTGCAATTGGAGGGCATCATGAATATCTAGATAAAAAACGAGATGTTACGGTCATCGAGGCTGAAACGTGTAATTTTGGGTACAAGAATGACTTGCTTATAATCTATTGATTCCCGCATCATTTGCACATTTTTCGATCATAATGGTGTAAAGGTATTAGGTTGGGAGTGGAACATGAGTGGCCGGGTTCGGTTTAAACCAAAACGAACCTTTCGGGATTGGCGTTGAACTTCTATGTCACAGTCGTTTTACATATTCCTAAAATGTGTTATGTAAAGAATTCAGTCGGGGGTGGGTGCGGAGAGTCAGTTAAAATAAATAAATAAATAAATTCAACAACTATCTACTATCAGTCAGCTAGTACAGTAATCACAGCTAACTAAGAAGGAAACAAATAATTGTACCCTAATTATAGACATTACATATCTATAGCTATCTACTATCAGCCCATATATCATAAGTACAAAGATACGGAGTGCCAACACATATCAAACCAAAACCTTTGTCTTGATTGCACAAGTCAAATTCAAATGAATGGAATGTAACTCAACAACATGAAGGACCATCAAGTGTACTATGACTTGCTTTTTTAATGGGCCCCCCCCCCCCCCCCCCCAGATTTCTTCATCTCTTCACTTGGGCATTACAACTTGGTTACATTAGAGTACCTTGTACATCAACATCATCCACTCAAGCACCTTCAATTGCTAAGAACTTGAAGGTAATATGCTTCATTTTGAAAACTCTTGGGTTGCAAATTTATTTTTTTCCAATTTGCGGGCAATTTGATGGACTTTATTGATTATTGTGGAGGTTGGGCTTAGGTAGATGGTGGATTTTGTTTAATTTGATGTAAAAAATGGTAGATTCATCACTTAAATAGGCATATGGGCATTCTTGCTACAACATTGCCCACAAGGTGTTTGCTTAATTGTCCCAAAGATTCATTTGTCTACATTTTAGCTTGAATTTTTGCACAACACTTGGGATTTACACAATTTAATGACACCTTTTACCTGCTTGCATCCACTTTAATGTATAACTTGAAATTGAAGGGAAACAACAAGTTGTACTTACTATCCCTTCCACTGCACTACCTGTGTTCTTCCCTATACATAGCACCACACTTTGCTCTTCGTTTGGTACTCTTGGTATTCTCTTGATAACAATTATCTCGTTCATCTATCTCATGTTACTTATTTTGTGACTTTTGCAGGAATGCTTCCCAAACGCACATACGACGCTCCCTCCACTTCAAAAGGAAAAGGCAAAGCCTCTTCTTCATCCAACCTGGGCCGCTCTCGAATTGATGAAGGTGGCTTGCGAAGATTTCTAAGCCCAGAGCATAAGCTTTGATTTGAGCAAGTAGTCGCCAAATGAACTGTTTTACCCGAGCGGGAAATGGTATTGGAAGATTTCTCGGGGTTTGAAATTGAGACATTAATTCACCGTGCGGGCTGGGAAAAGGTGATAGCTAAACCATTTGCTATTTATCCTACACTTGTTCAAGAGTTCTACACAAATTTTAACTTCTCCATCGACGAGCCTGGGACTGATCATTAGCACTGAACCTAGGTGCAGGATAAATGGTTAATGTTCACACCTGAGGTCATTGATGAATATCTTGAATTGAGGGAATCATCCCGATACCACCTGAGCAGAATTGGCTAGAGTTAGCACATGTTTTATATGGAAGAGCATATGCCTAGCCACTTCGTCGATCAAATTTCTTATACAGTAATTTAACTGAGTCCCTCATGATTCTGATGATGTTTGTTTGCCGTAATGTAGACCCCTCCAAGCATCGTTACAAGTTCGATCACACTAAAGCCGCTTTGCTCTACCATCTAGCTAGAGGCCTCAAATTTGACTTGGGCACTCACATCTATAATTTGATTTGTGCCCGTGCTGCTGAAGAAAACCCACGACACACACTCATATTTCCAAGCCTTATCTATGGAATATGCAGGGCTTACGGAGTGCAGCTCCTATCATTTAACTGAGTCCCTCATGATTCTGATGATGTTTGTTTGCCGTAATGTAGACCCCTCCAAGCATCGTTACAAGTTCGATCA